GCCTATTTTCACTACGAAACATACAAAAATACACATGCCATACCGTTTGAGTGGATCTAAGGGGTCGCTATGCTCGTCCTAACATGTCGAATTTCAAACTAAAAATTTTAGTCAGTAACAAATCATGACATTTTTGCGACCCCTTAGGTCCACTCAAACGGTATGGCATGTGTATTTTTGTATGTTTCGTAGTGAAAATAGGCAATGTACAAAAAAACAGCCGGTAACAAATCTTTTTTTTTCACTAAAAAATTTACAACTTTAGCTTGATTTGACGGCCCCTTCGATGCACAGAAACGGTATGGCACCTACCTTCCGATTGGTTTTTTTTAAGTAAACTATCACTAGAAACACATGTGCCATAACTTCCGGTAACTTATTAGGAAAAAAGCAACAAATTTTTGACAACTTCAATCACACGCTATCAATTTTAAAACCGCGGGAGGTTTGCCATACTTGCGTTTCCTGCATGTTTACCTAATAAATGACGAATTATGACGATTTCAAGCGGTAACAAATCATGACCATTTTAGTGTCATCATCTCCCGGACTATTATGGCCAATTCTAAATGCATATGAAATTGATGTCATACTGTCTCTAGATGCTAAATAGCGTAAAGTGACTTCCAATCGAGTACGAGGAGGTATTGGTTCCCTGATATACTCTTGTTTTGTAATAAGTGGTCCAACTAATGCTAACAGTCTTCGAAATGTTTCAGATGACATTCTAAAGTAATTGAAATACTTGTCCGGATCATTCAATTGCATCTCTCGTACCAAGTTGTCACTTGCTCCTTGCAATCGTCTTCTTTCTAGTCGAAATATCGGTCGCACCCAGCACTTGCGCTTCTGTTTTTTAGCATTTTTCAGTCTCTTCAATTTTAAATAAATTGTGAACATATGAATCACTCTATTGTAGGTTAGTTTTCTTTGATTAAATGAAGAAGTCACTGAATTCTTCAACATTTGCATCATCATAACTAGCATATACAAAAGATTCATTATGCTTCTAATTTCAAAATTGTTGTTAAATTAATCAAACACTATTTATACATTAAAGGTTACGGCACGTTTTGTTGTTTGACGTCGGAGATTCGGAGTGCAATTGCGTTGCGTGCTTACATCAGTGTTGCCAGATCATGGATTTTCTCCCTAGATTTAGGGTTATTTTTTAGGCTTGGGGAGAAATTTAGAGAGACAAAATGTTTAGGGAGAATGTTTAGGAAGACAAAATGTTTTTTAGGGAGGGTATTCCATGACGGGTATTCCTTGATTAGTCATGTTGAGTGCCTTACATTCAATAAAAAGATTAACAAAAAATGTCATATATACAGAGGGTTTCTCTCTGATATATACAGGGTGTTTGAAAATTATCGGCTAATCGATCACAAACAGGTAGAACGGACCGAATTGAATCGAAAAATCTTATACCATTTTGTAGGTTGCGCAATAGTTAACGAGATATTAACGTTTAAAGATAGCCGAATAAGCGCGTCCGACCGGCCTACTGCAACCTACCGACGGTAGGTTGTATATTCGGCAGCAGTAGGCCGGTCGGACGCGCTTATTCGGCTATCTTTAAACGTTAATATCTCGTTAACTATTGCGCAACCTACAAAATGGTATAAGATTTTTCAATTCAATTCGGTCCGTTCTACCTGCTCGTGATCGATTAGCCGATAATTTTCGAACACCCTGAATATATATATATATACATCATATATGATATATATATATATATTGTTATGCCCGGATCAATGTTATGCCCGAATCGTGTCGCCCGTTACGCCTGAGAAGAGT